AACAAGTAGCTAACTGTTAAGCGAACAGTTCATAGTGAACGACTTCATATGGATCACGTTTACACATGGTTGGTGGTATCCGGTTTCGGATTTGCCTGTCACTGTGGCCAGTCACAGGACGCCCGCGCCTACAGAGGCACCATGGATGGATTGCGCTGCACCACCTACAGCTCCATCCACACACCCCATATCCAGTGTAAACCCGAAGGAATAAGACCTAGAGGCATGCGCATGAGAGCCACGTTTCATCAACGGAGCCGGCCCACACTACTTCACAGGCAAAAACAAGCACGCTGTATTTGGGAATCAAGCGCACACACGAGGCGGTGGCTGGACCGTAGTCCACTCCACACTGAGTGCATGGAACCACTCTTCGAGCCGAGCACAACTACAAGGACCGTGCACCTCTTCCCCTGCAGCAACGACCAACTGTCTCCTGGAGCCAGTATGGACGAGGTAGTGGGTAATAGACAGGTAGGCACCTTGTCAACATGCACATCAAACGCAGCCAAACCTTGGATGTCAAACAACAGCCAATCATGTGGAATACCGATATAGAATAAAGTAAACGCAAATGACGACATAAATACTCGCTAAATGAGCATATGGAAGAAATAGGTTTAAGTAAATCCGCAATAAGTACAAAATGTCCGAAAGTTATTTACAAAATACCACGCGATATAATTACGCAATTTTACCACAATTTGCATGAGCGACTTGTGCAAGTTAGGAGAACATTATCAAGTATGCAGAACAAACCAAATAAATTGAAATGAATTTTATCCACATTATAAAAACCTAGTTTAAGTGTACGTTGGTTTAGCTCAACTGGGGTGAAGAAGCATCAAAAATGCGACATCAGCCTCACACGTAGGTGTATGGAAAGACACCCAGCTGTAACAGCGAACATTGTGTCACCATTTCTACTTGCTGGTCCTCATAGTGGTGCAATTTTGAACATGTGGCAGCAATATGAAGTGCAATATTCCACTTAACCATTCCAACTTAACTTTTAAATCAGATCTACCAATTCTGTAAGAATTAACTTCTATTGCCCATGGTGCAACATTACATAACCAACTGTTGTCTTCCATTTGTCATAATTATTAAAACAAATCACGCCTTCAAACGTACTTCGAATCATACAATCCAACTTAACATTTGCGTTGTGTTACACTTTTATGGACATGTTTAAGCATTCTACTGTCAAAGTTATCTGTGAATATTTCGTTGACGTAGCGTTCAAGCGTCTCAAGGGCAGTCAACGTCAGTGGTACGAATTCGACGAGGCTTCTATGACTATCCGCGTCTTCCGTACCGAGGAGGAAGCGAACACCGTTAACAAAGAACCACTCAGGGTGATAAACGTGCTGAACGCCGTCTTCAACATCGATCCGTCCGAGTTGAACCAATTCGTTATCACGTAAGCTCTCTTACACTCATTCATCGGCATTCACAGTGGACAAGAATTCACTTGCTTAGCTGTTTGTTTCTCGCTTTTCCGTTATAGGCAATGTATAGCTTGTTTCTGGTGATACAGTTTTCACGGGTCCGCATGAGTAACTCGGGCAACTAGGTCTACCACACAACCTGCACCTAGCGCATCAATAGATTGGCTTAATATTTAAAGTATCGGTTTTAAATATCTAGCAAGTGATCGGCGATGTGGATGTTAGGCGAAACATCATTTGTAACTTTTGGAAGCAAGCGAGTGCTTTGAAAATCACATTAGTATCTTCACCAAGCACACAAGTATGTAGTAACAAGGACCCACCCGTTAAGTACACTATGCTCATATGGATGTTTCGCTTCAGATCAATAAGGTAACGCGATCAAAAAATGCGGGGTTTTCAAACTACTTATGAGCATTGTGATGGAAGGCCATTTAAAGATGGCAAACTATTCCGCGATTCACGTGAGTACGCGGTTGCTCAGTGTGAGGGTTTTGCAAGGTCCCATCAACCGACAGCCGACGTATGATGATTCACGTTCATAAGCAACTACGTCGCTAGCAGTTAGTTACAAATTCAGTGATACCAGTCGGAGCATTTATGCAGCTCAGCTTAAAATCAGCAAGGGCCCCCGAAACACGGTTAAGTAACCACAACGCCGAACTATAAAGTTTCCGAGTAAATTGTATCCAAGAAGGAATCCAGACCTTAAGCAAATCTTGTTCCTCCATAAGAATATTCAACAGTTAATAAGTACATCAAGTTGAATCCAGGGTTGAACACACGCATAAATGCGTGTCGATTGTCGTGACGAATTTGCCTATCAGCTAATGGCACATTACACGAAGATACGAGTACTCAGCCCTGCGTACCGCGAGTGTTGCAGCGGGTTTGGTCCATGCATGCCATTTGTTAAACACATATGACTGAAAATGCTGATATGGCTAACAGCCGATCCAGGTGGAGTTTGCGTTGTGTTTCTTTGTTCACCCCCTCCGTTTTAGACCCCCTCCAATTCCCATCTCATACGAATAATATACTACTATAGTTTATATTACTGCTTTTGAATTTTTTGCAGTGTACTTTTCTATATCCGACCTTGTATTGCGGCACCTTGATTGGGTCGTGTTTTTCGCCGCAACTAATATGTATTGATTATGATGATTAGGGCTGCGCGCAATCGGCACGCCACGTGATTCACGCACGTACGCACGTCAAAACATGTGAGCTCTATTCAATGTAGAGCGCGGTGCGGCCTAGCATGCGACATCCATGAACGGCTGAGCAAGTACGTTACTTTACACCCACACAAGTATGCGGCTTCAAGACCCACAGCACAAATTAGGTGACCAGTGATCCAACATCCGAATTTTACGGGGCTCACTGGTGTGCACAACTTCATCGGACGTGACGTCTGCTCGAGAATGGCTACACTGAAGCTAGCTGCATGCGGGTTAGCAGGCATGCTCGTCAACCTCATGGGTAATAATGCCCATGTGAAATAATCAATACGCGCGTTCACTACTCGCCAACACGGAGCAATGGGGGCTGCAGCTCAATCGTTAGATAACGGTTGGTGTGGTTGAATTGCCTGTTGATTTGTTGAATATAGAGAATGATGATGTGACCACCAGCATATGCACCGCAATGCACGGTGTGCTGAAGTGGAAATTGCGGGCTTGTACGCTGTTAGTTGTAATAATATTGGTGGGTTAGCAACAGCTTGTATTTGTATGCAATCGTTAGTCTATTGCAGCCGTTGGTAGGGTGGAAGAATACTTTGTAAAATATCGCCATGAGTTCTTGTGGGACAAAAGATGAAATGATGATCTTTGTAGACGTCAGCACGCTCTTCACCAATGTGCCAGCAAGCGACGAAAATGGCGACGGTGAAACGCTGTTTGACTGGATAGAATAACCTTGGGAGTGATCGAAGCTTAAGGTGGTTGAAACAACTGAGAAGAAGGCATTGCACCATGTTGTGGTTTAGCTTGGGTTCCCATCTGAACCATGCACCCAGTAAATGAGTCTTACCATGAGGTCCGCAATGCTCACTATGCTGTAGGCGGTACGGACAATCGCCAGCACATGGTCTAAACGTTGATTCTTCCAACTGGATGGCACATTTGTGAACGTGTGTAAATAGCTAGTTTGTGGAGCACTTGAAATTGTTCACCATAGGGTAAGAAATTTTCAATAGGGCATTGTCACTCCTTAAGTATTCTGTTCGCAGGGAAAGGTTGACTTACCATCCGACATTTCGTCAACCGGAGAAAACATATGGGGTACTGCATTGCAGTTCAAGTCACTCAAAGCATGTGTATCTTAGAATCGTTTAACGTGTTTAGCAATGACAGATGATGAGGGATACGCCGCTTGGAAATTGACAATGATGTAATTGCTTTACAGTGGACACCTGAAACCGTTATCTGAACACCCAATTCACTAAATTCTAAATTCGCATTGAAAACATGCCACAGAATGGATTGGGACGGTGAGAATACCTTAGGTTAAAGGAACGTCGTTCACCTTTCAGAAGATGTTAACCAAGGAATAAATTTCTTAATCTTTGCATACTATCTTGAAGCGCACTTCCCGTATGCAAGCGAACTGACTGCGTTCACAAACGCAGCCGCAACAACTTTGAATATATGTTCTTAGGCCATACCGCGAGCAAACTGTGCACAACGCGAAAAGAACACGGCCACCGAGGGACGATTCGGTATACAAGGCTCTAATGAGATTCGACGGAAGCAATGCACGCGTTAGACACAGAGGATGAAATGTACCTGTATGTTGTCGACATAATGAGGAAGGGTTGCGGTCAACACTCCACATTTTGATAACTGAGCCAATAGCAACGAACTAACGTGTGGCAGGTTGCTCAAACCGGCCGGCATGCAAACCTCGTACTCTATAGACACAAATCGAACGTACTTATTGGGTCTGTGGGGTCAACAACAGTGGGCTGCACTGTAACGGCGGGGACAAATAACTGATCCACCGTCCTACAGAAGCAGGGGCTAAGTAGTGAACAGGGCTGTTAACCACATGCTTATCTGAATAGACGCCTGCAACAAACCCTATTCGCCTGTCCTTGCGTGTCACAGCGGCCGCTTACCGTGGCCACAAGTGACCACGTGGGAGCGATGTAACGGGCATGACGTGTGGATCAATTTGGCTGCACAGCTTAAGTCACGTGTGAACTGATGCATACCATCGGCTCACATATTCCGCCAAACCGTACCTCATCGGTTGGAGTTTGCATGCGTGAACGGCCTCAAGGAACTCATTCGTGTCAGAATTGTTTCCGAAGACGGTATCAGCCTCTCGCACCGCTGAGAAATAAACTATTTATCTAGTTACTTAGCGGTAAATTCAATGCTGGCATGGGGTAGCAGATAAAGTGCTCACATGCCGTTAGATAGGAGTTAGTTGGCATGCTGCGGAGATATTGAACATCCACGTACAACAACCATCGGTATGAGCTGAAGCTATGTTGGCTAACCTAATGAGTTTGCTGGAGAACGAGACAGGGAAATAGTTAGACAGATCTGCTGGCGTGCCATGATGAGCTTTCCCAAAGAGCAGTGGTTATGTACTACCTAGGGTCGAACGCACAAGACGATTATGGTATTTCCTGTAGTCCCTTTAGCAATTACGACACGCACTTATGGAACTGACGCGTGTCGACTCGCACAGCAATCGCGCTTCGGGGTTGGATCGGTTCACAGTTGTAAGCCGATAGTCAAATAAATTCCAACCCTCTGCAGTTGTCTACAGACCAGAAAATGCAGACCACTGCTAATACAATGAACCGCTTCATACTTGGTACAGTACTCACTAACAAGGATTACTGCGGTTAACTTAACTGCACATGACGTTTGTTGTATCCAAAGTGACAAATAGGACAGTCTTCCAAAATCGATATTCTTACTTTTACTGACCGAAGACATTGGAGGTGTCATTTGTAGGAATAGCTAGTCGCTTGAGCAAAGCGGCGAAGCAGGCCGTATGCATACCGGCCAGTCACTGACTGCGATTGTAAATGAGTCAGGAGAGTATGCAACTGGATAGCTGCTTGAAGTAGTCATTCGGAATTATATGGCAAATTGGCCGATCAGGTGCAAGCATCAAGAAGCCAGAGGTAGGAAGGACAGGCTAGACATACAAAGCGGGGCTTCCGTAACCAGACGCGGCTCAAGGCGACTAATCGAAAGCGGAGCAGAAGCTGACAGACATGCCCTGTGGGGACCAACGAAAGCAAAGTAACAAGAAAGTCGCAGCGTTCAGTGTCGGTAGACACTTATTCCCCATTTGTGTACAGTATAAAACGATGCCCTGATTCTTCACTAACTGACTTTGATCGTTTCCCAGATTTTCTTTTGACTGTCGTGGTGGGGGTGTGCTACTTGATACCATTTACCTCGGTTTACTTTAACAAAGTAATTTCAACGGATGTGAATACTGCCCTTATGGCTTTCAAGGTTTCCCATATTACTAAGAAGTTGTCACTCTAAAAACCGTGCCAAGGAAAACAGCTTCGCATAGGCTGCAACCACCCGCCTGTAGGAAGTAACCGAATGTCAACACAGCCGACATGGTTTCAGAGGTGAATAGCCGTGGAGAAGTCACGTTCCACATGACCGTGAACGACATCTCAGCTGTCATGAATAGTCGCTCCCATATGTCCGACCCGAGCGCAATCAGAAACAAACGGTTTACACCTGACCTGGATCACGAAGTTGACGTTGATGCGCATGAGGATACTGATGGCAAACACTTTGTTATCAGGACAGCTGCATAGCAGTTGACACGAGTTATTACCAGATGAATTGGTTAACTTTAAGCGACCGACAAGATGGAATGTTGTCCTAACCATCTGTCAATCCGCTCCACTTTTCTGCTAACCCGGAAACCCCTTGTCTCCTAAATTGCGTCATTCAATGTCTTATCTTCCAACAAACTCTAT